TATTTTATTATTTTCTTTATTCAATGACCATTTTGCCCTTTATTTCCTTTGATAATTACTAAAAACTTTCAGGAAATACTTCCAAATAAATCATTGAACCTTTCAAATTTTTTATTTTAATCACCAAATTCTGAAATTTTACAATTTAATAACTGACCCATAGTTTGGGATGTTACAAACCTTGTGCCTTCAATTTTATGCCTCCATCTGTACATCAATCAAAATAAAAAAATGGCCATTTTGTTCAATAATTTTAATCAAAATAATAATTTTAATTGATATTTTATATTAAAATAGAGAATTCATACTACCTTCTGGCAAGTGGAAAGTCAACCGCAGTCCGACTAATCAGTGTCAAAAATGGAAGTCTATGCCAATCCCATGATTGTAGTAGCAACATACATCCACCGATTTCTGTTGTATTATTATCATCCACGACTAATGACGCCTTGCACATCTCACGATACAAGAACGCCAATATCGCTGATCTCCATCTATATTGCCAACTATTCTCAAAATTTCTTTAAAAAAAAGAAGATATTGAGTGTGAACATAACTACCGGATTTATCCAGCATCAAAATTCCCCCAATCAACTACAATATATATGCTTGTGTTGCATATAATAATTTGTGCTCCGTTCTACTTGGATAAAGCTGAATTTCATTCTTCAACCATGACAACTTTACACGCCACCCTTTACACTCTGGTGGTACGGGCGTTTTCCCAAGAAACAAACTGCAAAGTTATCCCATATTATTAAACTCATGTGTCATTACCACCGACATCCCATTTATTTGGACCTCGAGTTGCATTGCCACATCCTCCAGAGTTATCGTACATTTGCCATACGACAAATGAAACGTGTGCATTTCTGGTCTCCAACGTTCAATCAACGCACTGATCAAACATGGGACCAACTTGTAATCTCGCACAAATGTTACATACCAAAATCCAGCCTCTTGCAAGTTTTCTTCTATCAATCGGTGTGGCTTGGGCACTTTATGTAGCCGATGACGAAGTACTCGTTGCTCGTCCTCCTGCAATTAAATATTTCAAAAAATTTATCACAATCATAAAATAATATTCAAATATTTATTAATTATTATTCATTAAACAAATACTTTATTCACCATTATTCCCAAATGACTTGAAATATGTTCATTGTCAAGTCTCAGCAGTGGAATTTGGTCAGCCATTGGAATGAATCTATAAAAAAAATTAAACAACAATATTTAAAAAATCATTTAATATAATCTAATATAAACTAACTAACTAACTAATTTACAACACAACAAAAAAATTTAATATAATAACTTATAATATATTAAACTAATAAATTATTCTTTAATATAACTTTAACTAATAAACGATTTTTTAATTATAATTTACTACTAAAAAAACTAATTAACTAATTTTTTATATAATATAAATTCAACAAACAAATATAACTTAACTATTTAACTAACACAAACTAATTACATATTTTTTTATATATAACTAACTACTAACAACAAACTAATTATTTTTATAATATTAACTATCAAACATACTAATTAAATAATTTTTTTATTTCTATATGAATAACTTAAAGTAACAATAATATAACTTAAACTAACAAACTAATTAACTAATTTTTTGTTTTACCCTAATTTATAATAATAAACTAATTAACTAATAATTTATAATAATAAACTAATTTAAATCTAATAAATTATTTTTTATTATAATAAAACTTAAACTACTAATAAACTAATTAACTAAATTTTTTATATAATATAAATTCAACAACCAAAGTATAACTTAACTATTTAACTAACTAAAAATTAAATATTTTTATATATAACTAACGACTAACTAACACACTAATTAATTATTTTTTTAATATATAACTATCAAACAAACTAATTAAATAATTTTATATTTATATATGATATAACTTAAACTAACAATAATATAACTTAAATTAACAAACTAATTAACTAAAATTTTGTTTTACCTTAAACCATAAACTAACAAACTAATAATTTAAAATAATAAACTAATTTAAATAATTAAAAACTTACCTCAATGTTGTGCTCTCTCTTTCTTCTTCTTCCTCTTTTCCCTTACTCTCTTCTCCCTTTCCTTCTTTTATGTTTCACTCATTAAGCCATCCAATATATAATTCAACCACCCATCTCGTATGCTTCAATTATATCACCCTCAAATTATCATTCACGTGCTGTTGAAGGGCTGCAATAATGCAACAATAAAGGCTGCAATAATGCATCAATAAGTGATGCAATAATGCAGCTGAATTCACGTTGCATGGGAGCAAAGGCGCAGCGGGAGCAGAGCACGTGAAGCCGTAGGTCGCCAGCGACCTACCACAATGCATGTCGCTCGGATGCCCTGGCGACCTACCCATTGGACGTGCATAGATGGAGACCTACCCATTGGACGTGCATAGCTCATGCAAAACACCACACAGGTCGCTCGGATGCCATGGCGACCTCCTAACTCGCCCGGATGCCATGGCGACCTATGGCTCCACTGTAGATTTCACCCTATCTCAACAAATAATATGGTCAAAGCATTATCTCATGAATTAAATAGTTTGAGAACATTATCTTGTGGCTTTTTCCCGCCAACGCCGTAATGAGTTGCCTATAATCTCTTTCTTTTTCACTGGGTTTTTCTTTTTAAGGTCTTAAAAGTCGGGGGTATACGCCAACGCCCTAATGAGTTGCCTGTTGTGGAAGAAAGATACCAAAATTACAACATATCTTCCAACAAAAGGGTACGAAAGGAAAAACCACATTTTAAGAACAAGACAAATTGGATAGGGAGTTTCAAGCTTTCTCAAACTGGTTTACCCTAATTATCATATTGGGGATAACACTTAAGGCCTTCTGATAAAAGTGGAAAGGCACGTACAACCCAAATCTTGGAACGTGAATATTTGGCTTATAAATAATAAATTCTTTGCATCTCAACGTAAAGAGTAAAGAAATGGCAAAATTTTCGGCTTGAAGTTAATTAATATATTTAATTTACCAGGGCCCAACCATGAAAGCATACTACAATTCATGAATAGCCATTGTATTTGAGCCCATTTAAGCCTATGAATATGGATCCACTATATATATACAGGTCAATGAAATTGGCCATCTTAACCGGTTTACGTGCCCGATTTCAAACCACAATTCATCAAAGCACACCTTAAATACAAAAACGGTTCGTCCAATACCAGTTCCCGGACGAGAGTGGAAATGAAACTTTGTATTACGATCAGCTAAACCCAGGTTATAAAATACAGATTTGGACCAACAGCAATCTTCTAAAAGAACGTTTTGGCACTGTTAACAACTAAAATTGGGATAATCTAGGACAGGCTATGTTCTGTTACATAAGAATACAACTACAAAGCCTAAATGATGTAGTAAAGTCAGACCCACTAACTGGAAAAGTCGGATCAATTCGAGTTTTAAAAATTTTGAATTATCACTAGTCAAATCAATTTTAGATTTGATCACCGCATCGTGATGTTGGAATTAGTAAATTCTAATTTCATAATATTCAGTCTAATCATTTTTTTATTATTATTTGTAGCTCAATCGGATCCATGTAGAAGAATAAGGTTTAAAGATAACGTGAACATTGTACCTTAGCTGCAATATCTCTTTACTTTTGTTGACACATTACAATTGGGTTTGAAACTGCAGTGCTGCTACCTTCAGGGTTAAGAAATCGTTTACGTACAAGTGAGTGCTTAGCGGAAGGAAATCAAGGTCCTTGGTGATTTGCATTGCACCACTTTACTCCTTTTTATATTTTCTTGGTTTCGAAGTAATGTTTTGTCTTTGAGATCCATCTCTTCCCACTTGTCTCTTTCCTACAATTCATTAAAAAAAATTCTGAACTTGTCTGCAAAATCATAATCCAACCATAACTTAAAAGGTTCTATTCCGTAGCTCAGATTTATGCCGACTTTGCTTCGTATGCCAGAGTTGAGTTTACTGACAAATTGATGCTTGAAATGCAAATGTAATGTCAAAAGCTTTAAAGGTTGAACAACTCTACTTTGAGTGTTTATAATTAACCCTTCACTATAAAAAATACTCGACAGTTAAACCGTTCAATTATAATGGCAATTATAACTTGTTTTTAACTCGCATCTTTTGGCTTTTAGTCTGACAGATGAACACAATTTCCACACACGCTTTTGTTGCTGGTGAGTGGAGATTTTCAGTAGGAAACAAAGAGAGGGAAAAACAGGTTGACTTAAAACCAGACCTACCAAAAGAAGAAAGAGCAGTATGGAAGCTGTTATTAAAAGTGAAAAATGGCCAACTTTGAGAGAATGAACAAATTCAACATCAGATTTCTAACATTGACTAAATTCCAACAAAACTTTCAAAGGATTAGTTGGAACACTAAGCCTTAGATCCCTCCTCGCAGTGTAGGTAATAAAAGGAGGACTTTTCTTTTGAAAGAGACTCAAATTTCAAATGCGAATTGCAAAATTTTGACCTAAATAGTAAAAGTTTTGTGAAGCAAAGTCAAAAAGAAACGATATTCTGAACCCCCTAATCTTTAGAGTTTGGAAAAGCAAAGAATATAGGCAGTAGATGTTGAAAATTGATAGAAAAGAGGTCGGTGTGAGGGGACAATAATCAACACGCCAGATCAGCCAATTTGACTTATTATTATTCTCCAGATTGAAAAAAATGGAGTCATATATCCCCCCCTAACAACATAGATTCGCTACCGCAACCAAATCTGACCCTAAAATCCCATGATCGCTATTTGTTTACAAAATTCACATAAATATAAGTCGGGAACATTCACAAGCTGACAAAAGAACCACCCGCACCATTTCTTTTTTCATCATCAAACCCCACTCTCAACCTTCATATACAAGATATTGGAAGATTCTTTATTTGTTCATCGACTACAACGCCCATTTGTCTTCAAATTTTTAAAAATTATGTTTCAGAATTCAGAACTTTAGAGACAATTGGAGCAAATTAAAGTGATAGCATCCTCAGCAACATCCACCGTATGGTATCCATGAAATGAACAAAAATGTTGGTAATCCAGTATAAAAACTTTAATAAGTAAATAGATGAAAAGAACCCACCAAATCCACAATCCCCTACTCTTTTAGCCTTTTTTTTCTTCTTAACAGCTGACTATGAACAACCCTACAGCTAGCCTGACTTTTTAAGATTTCCCTGGCAGGGTTTGGTTTAATTTAGTAGACATTTGAAGGGCCTTCGAATGGATGGTTGTAGGACTAAGATGACTCCAGGACCAAAGCTGCTGGGGAGTCAGAGATGTTCTGCCTATGATTGTGATCTCCTTCATAGGTTACAATTAGCATCATTGGGTCATCTAGAGCTCGCTCTACATGTTTCCTTGCAGGGCAGCCTCTTACACTGCTACACTTGTAATATCCCCTGAAATTGCGCAAACAAACGGGTAAGGGGAAACTCGGGTCTGAGTTAAGTAGACTCAAAGACCCAACTAAGCGAATTAACTCAGTAGTCAATTCAATGCACAATTCCGAAAAGTCAAATGAGATTTAAATGGCCACCCAGAAAGGACAATTGCAGCTGAAAACAAAATTCGTTTAATGCAAACTTGAATTATTGTTTGGAGGCTTTTTGGTCAAACCGCAGACAGGTGAAGTGAGAGATAATAATAGCCCACGATAAGAACAAGGAAACTTGAACGGTAAAAAATTAGAAGTAAAGAAAAGACTCCTTTTTGATTTGATCAAAACGGTAAAAAATTTACAGACCTCGGATGAGGAGAACCCTTGATTGGTTTCTGGCCATACTTTCTCCAGGAATAATCATCGGGGGGAATATCGGCCATCTTGTTGCTAATAGCCGGAACTCTGATCACTCTCTTCACTCTTGATTTTCTACATAGAAAAAAAATCAACTGGTATGTTAATACCTGAAAAGCTGAATCGATTAAACCATCCTAATTAATGAATACGAACAACTTGTATGTATAAGTAAGATGGAAAACCAACCTTTTCTTGGAGCAGTGGCAACGGCCAGAGGATGACCCACACTTGAGAGCGGCATCGTCCATGGAATTGCACTTCCTTTTCAAAGATGAAGATAAAGGCGGTTTACCAGAAGAATGGACATGGGAAGGACTAGCGAATTGGAAGCCAGAAGATAAGGATGGATACATGCTATCCGTATCCCCTGTCAATGAAGACATAAAAGAATTCCCAGCAGACAAAGGAGGCGGAGATGAGAAAGTGATGGTACTGGGCGCTTCTTTTATCTCCAAAAGACCAGTCTTTGGCACCAAAACAGCACTGCTTTTACTCTGGTGGTGATTGTAAGGAAAATGAGGCAATCTACGACTTGGGGTTGAACAGAAAGGTTTAAAAGCAGACACCTGATCTTTGGCTACTTGAAGGGAAGAATTCCCCAACTCTTGAATCTTCTGCCGAGGTTGTCGTGCATCTTCTTGTTGATTTTTCCCCTCTTGTTCGAGAGGACTAAGAGGAGCACGTCTAAATCGAGCATGACCGGTCCTGGGTCGATCCAGTAAGGATATAACCTTCTTGAAGGAATTAACAGTCTTATCTGTAACAGCTTGGAGTTCCATATCTGGCTCTGAACCTGAAGGAGGAGAAGTTTTAGAAGAAATATCTTGATTGTAAAGCTGTTGAGTTTTAGACATCAATCTGATCAATTCTCCAACACCTTGGATCCCAGCAGTCGCAGCCTCTTTCAAAGCAGATTCCTCCACTTTCCCTGTAAAACTATTGCCAGCACCACCGTATCTCATCATCAATTCCACGGCCATCTCTGTTGATCCAAGAAGAAACAAAAATTGGAAGTCCCCCCACTACTCCCCACAATTTCGATAAACTCGAAGTAGACGCAGTTTTAAAGATATAGAGAACAGAAAATGCTTGACATAGAAGAAGAGGGAAACTGGATTGAAATAACGGTGAAAAAAAAAAAAGAGAACTCAAAAAGCAAACAAAGAACGTGAAAGATGATTATGATAAAGGAAGGAGAAACGAACGGATTCGAGTCAAACTGATGCCCTCCCTGGTTGGGTCACTGACCTGTCTTCAGTTACATACTGCCCGTCAACCTCCATATCCAATCAGATAATACCACGTGTTCATAAATTTTGTCAGCACATTGACCAGTTTGCTTTAAAAGTAGGGCCCACTAGAACGGGCTAAACCGGCTTGAAAGACCTTGTCATAATGATAAAAAGAAAAGAAAAAGCGGAAGGGGGCAATAGGTCAAAAGGTGGCGATTAGCCGTTGGATTAAAGAATCGGTAAAATCGTGGGTTGGAGACAGTGAGGATAGTTGACCTTTGGCAGGTTGTTTTTAAAATAAAGAAAGAAAATGACAGGTGGGTGGGACCCAGTAGGAACGTCTCCACCCTCTTTTACCGGAAACCGGAAGCGGCGTCAAACCCTCGTCTCACAAGTCTCATTGGATTCTTATTATTTCTTCGATAATAATAGTATAAATAAAGGAGGCCTTGGATTGCTTTATTTATTTGATGTGATCTCATCCCGTTGAAATTTCCGATCATCCACCTTGAAAACCCACGGACTCTGTGCATTTTATTTTTATACATATATAAAAGATAAAGTTTAATTCATTATCTAATTAATTTATATTTGATAATACGTAGATTTATATAAAAATAATTTATTTCATTTCATTTTATTTATAGTGTTAGAATTTTAACATTCAAATTAAAGTTTTTAATTCAATTTTTGTAAAAAAAAAGTTTCTAATTCAATTATGAATTGATAAGTCTCAACCATTTAATATTTAACGCTCACACTTATGATATTTATGGTGTTCGAACCCAATACTTCAAAAAACAATAATAATTTATTTATTATCGAAATCGTTTGGTCCGTGCAACTCCTAAAACTTTTAAAATTAAAATTTGTAAATATGTTTAAATTTATGATCTCCATTTATAACAATAATAGTATCAATTAAATTAATATTTAAAAATTAATTAATTTTACCTAAATGGTTTTAATAATAATTATCATTTAAGCAGTGTTTTTCATATTTCTTTACTTATTTCTCATTTTAAACGGCCAGTGTTACTTAATGGATTAAAGTAAAAAAACTTTCAGTGATTGATTTGTTTTCAATAATAATGATAATAAAAATAAAACAAAAGTGGAGAAAAGTTATGGAAAATGATGCTACTGATTAATGCTTGAATATGGTAGACTGTGTTTTAGTGACAACACAAAAGAAAAAGTAAGGATGCACTATGAACATGTTCCTCGTAAATGTTGATTGTATTAAACTACATAGTAAAATATCATTGTTCCTTTAATATTTTACACCTTCATTTTCAACCATCACATGTCGTTAAGGAATTTGAAATTTCATGTTTAAAAATACTACTAGCGTGCTTTCAAGTGGCTTCTATGGAAATGTAATATTGTTATTTTTAGAGATTTTGGATTCGAATACGTTTATAGGATGTGTGTGCATTGTCGATGATTAAAAAAATTATAAATAAATACTACTTTATAATTGTCACATATTATTAAAAAAAAATTAGTTTTTTTATTATTATCATGTATAAAGTTATTGTATTTAATAATTAGTGTTTATTAAACTTTTTAAAGAGTCCAAAACAAAAATAGTTAAGATTTTTTTTGGTTGTCTTCCCGGCTTCCAAGATTTCGTGTTGATTAATCCGAATTTATCCTGGTCGTATACTTAATTTTGGTTGGTGAATTCTGCATACACAAATACTCAAACTCAAGACTTACTCAAAGATAGTTAAGAAAATTTTAAACATAATGGATGTAGCTTAAACAAGTATCAGCAGCTGAACCCACCCCCCAAAGAAAAAAATGTGAGAATTGATGAAAGACATGGCTGCCTTGAAATGGGGGTTGGGTTGCCCAAGAGATCAGCGAAGGTTGGGGCTAATGTAAAAAAGTATGGAAGCGTTTCAAAGAGCCCCATTAAATGACCCCTACACGAGCACACAATCAAAGTGGTCCATTAAGAAACAGAACAACTATCCTAATATGCACAGAAATAGCAAGGCTCAACTACTATGAATTCTGCAATTGAATATTTATCATCCATGAGTTTGGATATATGGGATTGGCAAATTGCATGAAAGAAACTTCATGTTTAATTGCGATATGAATATCTTAAGTTACAATCTCCTTTTTAGCAGAAGGTGCAGCATCGTTAGGAAACTATGATCAGCTTAAATCCTTATAAAAGTAAAAGAATAATAGGTATACCCAACGAAATTCAGTAAGAAAAAAGAAAGAAAGCTGATCATGGTGTTAAAATATTTAAACAAAATTCATCATTTTTGTTTTCATATTTCATGCATTCAAATTAAGTATGGTATGAAATCAAAATCGTGGTAAAAAAAAAAGGAAATATCCAATGACCAGCTGGTAAGTACTTGGTTTCAGATTCTAAAGGGATCAAAGATGGAGCGGCATCGGGAAATGATATAATTATAAACTATAGACTCATCTTTTCCTTCCTCTGGTTTTCTACACCTGCAGAAAAATTCCAATGTTGTTAGGGTTGATTCTTATGAAGATGTTCCACCAGCATATCAACCAGTTAGGGCTGCCATTGAAGCTGGAGGCAGGTCTTTCCAGTTGTATACTTCTGTAAGAGTACTATCCTTCGAAATAACTGTAGTTCAAATAATGTCTAGTTAGTAAATTTGTACTTGATTATGAAGCAATAATGTCTCTTAAAATTGGAGTTTTAATAATGTATTCTACTCTTCTTCCAATGTAGGGTGTATTTAAAGGAATATGCGGGACGCAATTGGACCATGGTGTGGTTGATGTCGGATATGGCAAAGATTACCGGATTGTAAAGAAATCATGGGGTGATCAATGGGGAGAATCAGGCTATATCAGGATGGAAAGAAACCTAGGCAATACAGCAACAGGAAAATGTGGAATTGCAATGGAAGCCTCTTATCCTATTAAAAAGGGTCATAATCCCCCCAATCCTGGTCCCTCCCCTCCATCCCCGAAAAAGCCTCCAAGTGTCTGATAATTATTACAGCTGTCCCGGCAGCAGTACTTGCTGCTGTGCCTTTGAGTACCATGGCTACTGCTTTTCTTGGGGGTGCTGCCCCCTTGAGGCTGCGACTTGCTGCGATGACCACTATAGCTGTTGTCCGCACGACTTGAATGAAGGCATCTGCTTGATGGTACTACTAAAAGATGATTTTGCACTATGAACTGCTTTGTTATATTCACTGATTATGCTAATGAATAGTGACCCTGCATTTTTATTGTTGCATATTCATGTGATCATTAGCACAGAGTCAGAAGTGTTTTCTCACATTCACAAGTGAACTACCATTCCAATTCTCCTTTTCTTTTGTCTAAAAGTTATTGATGTTCATAGATTGCTTGAATTCATTTTGCAGAGCAAGGGCAACCCAATGACAGTGAAAGCACAGAGGCGCACTCCAGCTACACCTTTCTAGGAACATGCTTAAGAGAAGCCTGGGATTTATGCAGCGGATGAAGCTATTAGGAGAATGAAAGAAGCTTGACAGTGCTTAAATGTTCTCCTTGGTTTTATCATGCTGCAGTCCTTTCTTTCATTCTGATTCCAACAGATGGATGGTTCATAAAAGTTGCGGAGATGTCAATTATGTATATAGCTTCCTGATTTATCCATGCTGCATTTGAGAAGCAGACAGAACATTGTCAATTTCCATTGTACTATGTATGTATACCATGTCATCATTTATCACTAACTTTCAAGAATTGATCTGTCAACTCTATCCCGTTCTTATGATTGGTTCAATATATCAGCCTAATATTTTCCTTTCTGCAAATTTTAACAATTTTACATGGTTTTAGAATCCAAGTTGAAGATATAACATCACCTGAAATATATGAATTCAACTAATTCTGGACTATGACATGATCAATGTAGCAATTTTGTTTTTTCTTCTTCCTGTTCCATGTTTTGACATTAAGAACTCAAGATCAGTAGTCAAGAAGTTGTTTGCTGCAAATATCACCTAGCTATGGCCTTAGTTTTAGTTGCTGGGGAGGCAAATGCGTTATTTTATGCTCTCATTAGCCTTAAAACTCATTGTTATCTTGGAGCCACCATCGATTACAGAAATCAATCTGCCATAAATAGTAGCTTCATAAAACAGTTGTTGCATATTTTCCTGGGTTTTTGTACCCCGCAGAACAGCAAAAGGAAAACGACATAACTGAAAGTTAACAAGTCAAAGAACATCTAACTTCTTAGAAGCCACAACTGTAATTTGCAAGTAACACCTGAAATATTCTGGTCTTCTCTTTTACATTTTTTCATACTTAACAGTGCAGACTTAAAGAAGCAAGTATTGTAGCTGATTGTTCGCATTATCTGGAAACTAAGAAAAGTTCTGAACATGAACATAACACTCAATTTCCAAAGCGGGCCGATAGACGGACAAAATCAAATTTCAACCAACATAACAGAAGCCTTGAGCACAGTGAATTAATAAAAGATATGTACAGTCCTCGCAATCAACTTGTCTCCGTTCTATATGATATCTAAGTATCTCAACTACAGACCTTTAATCAAACGAAGAAGGATATTTTTTTCAAGGAGAAGAAAGCTTTCCATTTTATCACACACATGGAGGTGGAGATTAGGAGGGTTGCTGTCAAAAACTAAATGTAGTATGCAAGTAGTGGAGGCAATCTCTGAAAGTTTTTCTCGACTCAAAATAATGGTGTTTTAGACTAAAGTTAATATCTTGCCTGCTAACAAAATGGACCCCTTTGCCCAAATGACATGTCTGACAAAATAAATCACAACTCATTTTCTTAAGTAATGACCCAGAATATTGAAAAAAAATAAGGGGTTGGGGGACCATCCACTGTGTCGGGTGGGAGGAGGGGGCCAGACACCAAATGTACTAAACAACTCAATTATCCATCGTCATTCTTC